GGCTGTATAGCTGATGTGTCCAAGTTTTTTGTGTTGGACACGTCCGGATGAAAAATCACCTCGCTAATGAGGAAAGTTAGAGGTAACAAAAGTCATGCATGGTTTCACCTAAATTACAGGGACATCAGCTAGTCAGTACACATACCTTCATCTTGCCCTCCACCGTCCTGTAAACCCTACGGGAAGTGAGTTTTAACCCTCCTGCAGCCGTGCTAGGTTAACCTGTGAGGCTGAGCTGACAGAATTTACAGCAACACACGGCCACAAAGGAGCGTGTTGTGGAGGAAGGTCACCCGGGGCAGAGGGTTCACACGGCCCAGTCTTACTTCTACCTCCGCAATTATCACACCATTATGGCTGTCCCCTGAGAACAATTACTATAAACACCACCACACACACCACTGGGCTCACCTGACACGAACACAGGCCTGGCCGTAACGCTAGGTGCTGTCAGAGCGTAAAAGTTATGTCCTGGTAATGGGAGGGGGGTCAGAACGCTAGTGTGTATGTCCCACCCCCATGCATGTTTGCTTGTCAATACTGCATACCTTTCCTCAGGTATGCAGCCATGAATGGCCGCCAGGTGTAGGGGAGAACAAAGGTGTTCACCTCTCCTTAACTCACGCCGAGACGCCAGTCTCAGGTTACCTACCACCGCCTGACCCGAGGAGACTTAAGAATTTATAAATCAGGAGAAGAAGTCGGCGGGATTTCTTCCCAAAACTTCACCTTCAACCTGAAACAGTGAGTTATTTTCTGTCTCCGTGTGATCCTGCACCCCCGCAGAGCATGGCGAATGGTTTCTCCTGAACAAAGCCCAGGCCACACCTAAGTCAAGAAGGCAAGAGTGCAAATAAGGGGACGTTGCCCATGTATGGGCAAGACTTACCACTTCCTGGTGGGATCTCATGCCAGAGGGATCCCATCCCTGGATCTGGGTACCCAGATCTTGGCACACCTGCATGTTAGGCGGGATCATGAGATCCGGGATTCGGAGAGCGGCCACAGAAACACAACACACCTGTTGGGCGTCCCCACACGGTGTAGGGAAATGGACTGTTCCGCTGACAGACAAAGAATTTAGCAACACAATAGGGCCGCGTGTAATGCCTGAATAATTCAGGATCTCTTACAAACCGCCAGACCGGTCCGACTGCCAGGGTAGCACAACAGACAAGGACGTCCGCCTCACCGAAAAAACAACAGACAAGAGCGGCCCTCAAACAAAAACAGGATTACACAGACAACAACGGAAACACACACACAAAAACAATGGACAAGGAGGGACCAAATACACAGGAACAACAGACAAGTACCAGCCACGCAAGCGAAAACAAAGCGTACAGACGGCCATTATAAGGTTCGGGGTCAATTACAAAAGAGTGGATTTTTATAGCCTGAGTCATGACTCATGCAGACACACTCTATGTTAGAATGGAAGGCAGTTCTTATAAATCTTAGCTGAGTTTTTTTTTGCACAGAAGTCAGAACCTTTTAATGCTACCAGCAACTGGCCATGGAAACCTATTCAATTTTGTTGCTTTTTTGACAAACAATTTCGTTCTTCATACAGGTAATTATTTGTGAGACCTGAAGGCTGAAGGACATTGTAAATTTCTGTGACCTTGGAGAGGTGAACCATAATCATATGGTTCGGCTAGGCTCTGACTTTAGTTTAGCAGAACACTTGTTGAGCAACAGCCTATAATTTACATGCTTCAGTTAGCAACAACCTCAAGGCTGTTTCCCACGATAGCTGTTTTAAGACATACATTCGGGTCAAAAGCAGCTTTCGTAACATAGAATTTTACGCCAACGGTAATGATACTGTACTCTATTCTCTGGTTATGTGACGTTTTTGTCAAACGTAAAGTGCTGAACATCTGACTTACTGTCATGAACAATTTAACGTGAATAAAAATGGACTTGGGTTGGTCAACAGAGTGGCTTGTAAAGTAAATATGACCAGTGTTTTGTTATCAAACAGGGGAACTTGTAACATTGTGCAGGACATTGTAGGTAAATGTTTGTCTTTGAACTGAAGGGACAGACCGGCTTTTTCACCAGCGTGTGGACATACAAAAAGTACATTATCTTACTATTGTATTGAACTTTCTTCCAACTCATTTAGTCAATCTTATTTCATCTTATATTTGATCAAGCTGAACAACTGCAAACTAGAACCTCAGCTACTGTAAGATGGCAGAGTAAGTGAACTTGATGACCTGGTGCCAATTAGGGAATATAAAAAGAAACATAAAAGACTTGAAGAGCTGCATCTATTGACACCGGGCTGGAAATACCACCTGTGTATGCAGGTAATAAAGGAATATGCAGGTAAAATTGGAGCTGTGCAGGTAATTTTTCTGATGTCTACCTGTACCCAACCTGCACACTCTATGTACTGGATTCATGTACAAATGTACATGCAAATATGTGGATTATATTTTATGCATTGACTTTGAACTCCCATGAAGTATTCAAAAATAATGGCAATTCTGAATAATTTTTAGCATAATCCACACTTCCTAAATTCTGAGTGGTGCAGGTAAAATTTGTCTGATTCAGGTAATTTTCAATGCAGAAAAAAAGGATTTCAAGCCCTGATTGAAATGATGGGTTGGAATTTCAATGGACAAGGCGACCATAAGACATGTAATACTATGTCTTATCAACATTGACTATCTTTCCCACACAAAGATGTGCCTTCAGGCACAGACTTACATGTGTTTAAAGACTGATCGGGTCAGACTTAAGCCTGGGGCAAAGACGGTACATCCTCAATATGTGTTTCTATTGTACTGATGTCCTTCCATCAATCTCAATGAAGGCCCTGACTTCATTTGCCCTTAGGAGTCCCTATGTGGCTAGTATAGCCTGGGTGCCAGACTGTTTCCAGGCCTTACATAGGCCAGTTCCTTGACAACATGCCTGCAATGAAATTATACCATAGCCCCCTCATATCAGCTAGGCCCTGATTTGCAGGCATGCTGGCTAACTATGAGCCTAGCAAGCACATTGGCAGATTACTGAACCCTGGATTTTTGCGTTTTTTTGTCGGATTTTTGGTCAACGTTGCATCATAATTTTGCCTGTTGCAGACGATATCTTTTCCGACATAACATTTGAAAACTACTGTCAGAATGCTAACCTTATATGAGCAAATACAACCTTATATGAGATATTCTGCCGAAGCGCTATGCACAATACATTACGGGTTTTGCGCAGGTGCAGTATGTTCTGCCGACGTGCTAGCCTAGCATGTTATGAGTTTGGCATCCAGGATATGGCTAGTGCTCCATACTACATTACTGTACTACAGAATTGAATTGCAAACTTAATATGCAATGAAAGCATGCTTATCCACCTACCGAGAAATTAAGTCCCTGCAAAAATAAATGAATTTTACAGTATATATCGAAGCAGCTATGCACTCCTCCTGCAACCTTGGATGTAATTATGGACTAAATAATTCAGTAAGGACCGTATCATTGAAAGAATTCAATCACTATCTATTAACTACCCACACAATGCAAACAAAGCAGGTATTTCCTTCTCTCTTGTATTGAAAAAATCTAATCTGAGTATTTGTTGTGCACAAGTGTCGGGTGTCATTGATGAAAATTCTACATTTCATATTTTGTTTAACCTTTTTCCTACTACTTAACCCTGTACAATAGAAAATTGTTCGTCAAATGCCTACTTCGGTGTGCTAAAGGTTAATTATCTAAGACTTGCTGCTGCTGCTTTCAATTCAAAGACTGCTTGAAAAAAAAACATCCAAAGAGAATTTGCAGGTAACTTGAAATGTTCTGGTGGATACCACACATGTCATGGGAGCTCCTTGCTCAGTGGTGTGTGTAACATGGTTTTATCCTGTCTAAGCCTGGCCCTTCTGTGTTCGTAATTAAATTAGGAAAACGTCTGACCACAGAATACAAGCCATGGGGTAAACAATACATTAGTGTTTGGGCCACACAGGTACCTACCCTAGGCTGGAAACTGGCCAACCCTTGAAACAGCATTCTATTCTTACCATTATTGACTGTGGTCTTGGATTTCTGGATCTCTATTTGGTGACATTATGATTGTCACAGTTCAGAGATCTTTTATTAAAGTTTTAGAGTGTTTGACATCAGGGTCATATGCTCAGCCATCTTGGACTGCCAGATTTTGTTTGATTTCACTAAAGCTTTTGAATACAGGTACTGCCTAGCATGGGACCCGGGTTGGGTCGAATTTCTGTTTCTGACTTAAGTCAGGATATTTTGGAAACCATGTTTATAAACTCTGTCAAGTACATGGCTATCTATATATCAAGCTGAACACAATAAAAGAGAGAATTATGTTGGGTACTACAAAACACTTGATCCTAATCAATTTGTGATGTCAGGTACTGTAAGTTGGAACAAAAGGACTGTACTGTAGGTACAGCACTAGGGAAGATTTTTAAATCTTCAAATTTTCCTTAAAAATCCTTTAAAAAAGATTTTAGAAATTCTTAAATACATGTAATGTGTTTAATTTTGGAAGCAGGTTTTGTGCAGAAACTGCTGGTGAAAATTGAAAAAAAAATTGAGGATTTTAAAATTTTCACCAGTTTCTGTGCAAGTATTCTAACCTGCTCACAAAATTAAAGACATAAACAAACTAGAAAGGTAACACTTGCAAAGCAAAGGAATAATGTTTACCTTCGCATATGGTGCTCTGTTACTCAAACACATTCATATACATTGTATATCCCATATGGTGACAGGAGTCTAAATCCCTCCTGCTATAAAATTGCAACATGCTGTAACCCAACACCAGTTACCATGGTGACAGAGGTCTGGTTCAGGTCATTGACCTTATTTGTTTGGAGAAGAAGAAGAGGAAAAAGAAACAGCAAAAAACAATGTTATATTCGCCCAAGGAAAACATATTGTTTCTGCGAAGGTAAACATAACAAATAACAATATTTCTCAATAAACAAATAAACAATAAACAAACATGAGACTGACCATGGTGGAGGAGGGAGACTGGATGTTGACGTTGCGGAACAGGTCACGGTTCAGGTACGGACCTGGGAAGGACGGGAACTCTTCACTGGTCTTACCGAGCCAGTACAGCGTGATGGCCACCTGGACATGGTAACATAACATTAGAGAGAATTAGAAAGGTAACATTTGCAAAGCAAATGCATAATGTTTACCTTTGCACATGGTCTGTCTGTTAATTCTTTCTCAAAGACATTCATATATACGGTGACAGCAGTCTAAATCCCTCCTGCTATAAAATTGCAACATGATGTAACCCAATGCTAGTTACCAAGGTGACAGACATCTGGTTCAGGTCATTGACTTTATTTGTTTGGAGAAGAGGAAGAAACTGAGGAAAAACAATAGGCTTTCCTTCAGTAAACACAATTAAGAATTTATTTGTTTGTTTATTGTTACATTCATTCATTCGTTCATTCATTCATTCTTTAATCCATCCATCCATCCATGGTTTAACTTTATCATTGGATGGATGGATGCTTACTTCGATGCATCTGGGAGTTTAAAACAAAATACAGTCAAACCTGTACTAGCGGTCACCTTTGTATAGTGGTCACTCGGCCATAGCGGTCAGTTTTTGCCGGTCCCTTGAATTTTTCCCATTGACGTAAGCATTAAGAATCGTGTCTATAGCGGTCACTGTTCAACGCGGTCAGCGGTCACCCCATTCCGGTCCCGCCGGCATGTCAACACCGCCGATAGCGGTCGCGGCTGGCCGTAACCCGCTAAGCACCACGGCCGTAACACCACCCCACCTTGGGCTACGAGCCTACGACCGTTATGAGCCTTGTGATAATTTTCCGATCGCTACATTACTAAAATGTGAACTGAAAATTAGACTCCATATGTGTATGAAATAAAGGAAAACTGGCTTTTGACACGAATTTTCTGCGGTCGCGGGTGTCTTTGATATCTGCGTTTTCCCCAACACCAGTGTCGTGCGTGCTGCATGGAGCTTTCAATGGACTCGGCCGCTCGGCGAAGATTACGGCAATTATCTTTACAAAAAAAATTAAGAATATCCATATTTGGTTTCTCGATTCCTTGAAATGCGTAGATATGGGCATAGCTTCCGTTTTTCATGGGCATAATTCAAGAAATTTGGCTCGAAAAATGCGTTTCGTATTTTTCCAAGATGGCGCATGTTGGCTGCAGAGGGAGGTCAATTGGGGTCATCGGAAGACTCCACTGTTATGGAGGTAGATACACCGAGTTCTATTTAACTTCATTAGCGTCAAATGACGTAATTACATTATGAAAACATTTCAAATACATTACTACAAGTTTTTTTAGATGTAAATTTAAAACTGTAGTGGATATTTTAGAAAAGATATGAGTCTGAAAGGAGAAAATTTTCTGTTGACTACCACATTGGCATAATGGTAAAGGCAGACAACCCACGCGGGGAGAAACCCAAGCCGTAAACAAAGGAGAGTTTTCGCTACGTTTTCATGTTCAAAAACGACCAAAAACGGAAAGTAACTGGCACCTGACGAACAATTATTTTGCTGTTAACTAAATAGACAGCATCTTGGTACAAAATAACTTATTTACGTGGTTGGAATTCGTTGTGGCGATGTCGGTCGCGCGAAGCAAGTGTTCACCAAAGAACAAAAACATGGCGATGTCGTTCTCTTCCACTTTTCGACTAACAACAACAACAACTAGTACTAGTAACGTGGCGATATTAATTGCGGAGAAACGATGGCAAACGCGGAGAGACAGACGCCGAACTTATTCCAAAAGGTGGAAGTGATCCGACTGGCAGAGAGAGTGAGAAGAAATCGTCGAAAGCTGAGCTTAGATTAAATGATTTTGCAGTCGATAGAAATTTGTTTGGAGTTGAAAGTTTGTTGCTTGATTTGCTTTCTTTTCTTTAGCCACATGTAGTGCTAGTATGTACACAAGAACAGTAAATGACAACCAGTGATTTTGTTTTAATGTGAATGGTTTCATTGTCCCGGAATAGATGAACTGAATATGTTGAGTGTATGTATCTTTGATGTCAAGTTAATGTTTCCATGCAATATTTCTGTATTTCTTTTTTTTTTAAGCAAGTACAAAATAAAGTGCAACTTAAGCAAAAGAACAACAAATTATTGAACTAAGACATGTACATAAGGGTTTACCTTTGCAAATGTATGTATTCATATGTTTCTGAATAAAGACATCACTGTTGGTACTCAAAGCATGTGTCCCTTTTTTTGGGGGGGGTCAACTAACCGGCTGTTTCTCTATAGTGGTCACCTGGCCATAGTGGTCAAATTTGGCCAGTCCCTTGAGTGACCACTATAGGCAGGTTTGACTGTATTCTACTTTTTCTATATTAGAATCTAATAATAAATGTGATCAAACAAGCAAATTGATTAAGCAAATTGGAAGAAAGATGGAATTTGTCACAAGAAAAAAATTAGGGTTTTACAGTCAGAACTCAGATAAAATTTAAACATGGATGTACAGAATGCACAATAACATAATAAATGCTTAATAACATGCATGTAATGACAGTACAAAGAGTCCTTCTCCCCACAGATAAACAGCAGACTCATACTTTTAGTTATACTCACATTTTTGAGCCTGTTTCTTTCTTCCTCAGGGTCTCGGCTGCAGAGGGAAGAAATGCAGAGATTTTTAAGCCACTTCATACTGTAATACCAGAGGATTTACTAGTATATTAGTCACCACATCAGGGGTGCCAGAGTATACAGTGCAATTTTACAGAATACAGTGCAATCATATTAGTATACAGTGCAATGTTAGTAGTAAAATTGCACTGTACTAGTAAAATTGCACTGTATACTAAAACGATTGCACTGTATTCCGTAAAATTGCACTGTATACTTACTAGTAAAATTGCACAGTATTCTGTAAAATGACACTGTATTCCATTAAATTGCACTGTATACTTACTAGTAAAATTGCACTGTATTCCTTAAAATGACTGTACTCTGTAAAATTGTACTGTATACTCTGGCACCCCTGCACATGTAAAATGCAACATTGGTTACTCACTTTGAGTCATTTTCCAAATATCAAGGGCACAAAGTGGGAAACCCTGTACTTAGACAGATTATCATGTTGCCAATGACTAGCAACACACAGGGATACTGCAGCTGTTGACCTCTGACATGGCCTCCTCCAACATGACCACATTTTGAAAGATGAAACTGTCAACAATGGGCAGCCAATCAAAACACAGATGTCTCCTAACTTAATCATAGATTATCAAATGAATAATTTAACTTCTTTATCCATCACATTACAATGGCATTTGGCTAATACAACTGTATCTCATTTATGCCTAGTAGCATTTTTTATTTCAAGCCATGACAAGGCTTGTATATAGATATACTTGACATACAATGTAATAAGACTTTTTTATTTCTTGATTATTAACTTGAGATGCATTTCTGATAAAATTTTCAAGGTTGCATAATGATGTTCTTCATAAAAAGAATGCAGGCACCATGTACCAATATGCTTTATGGGAAATGGGCATACACATAGCAATAAATATCATTGTTATGATATCTCTTTAACATTGCAGGTCTCGAAATTAACTTTTTTTCTTATTGTCCCAGCACTATTCCGAAAATAAATTTCAATTGTCCCGATGTGAGGTTGAACTGTCCCAACCTATTTTCAGGAAGTATGTATGACAACAACTTGAAGTCAACTTTATTTTGCTTACGTTCTGACTCCCAGGCGCGCTATGATTGCAGAGTAGACAAGAAATTTGGGGGGCTTTTCTGAGCCAAAAGCCAGGACACGTGCCTGATCGACAAAAGTAGGGCTGATATTCTGATGTTGATTATTTTGTGTAATGTCCCAAAAATGTTCCAAAGTGACTTTTCAGTTGTCCCAACCTTAATTTTAGTGGTCAGAGGCCATCAGGACACTGTTAATTTTGAGCCCTGACATTGACACATGGATCCCTACTTCAGCTGTTCAACATGACAACAGTGAGACTGACTGGGATTCTGTCTGACCTCACATTGACACAAGCATTCACACACTGATAAAATTCCCCAAATACTTACTGGCAGTACATTATACCAACTTCACAAACAACAGAAGCAATGAAATGTGAAACATCCCATCTAAAATCTTGTACGTGCATGTAAACACTAGATCCAAAACAATACATAACAACAAGTCGCCCCTCCCAGTTGTAGATGTGACATCGTGACAACAGTGAGTGACATGTTGTCCCTACGCTGTCATGACAACCACTGATGCACACATTGCGCCGAAAGTCACCCGCTGATCATGACAGGACAATGTTACTACACTAACAGAAATAACCCACACTTACGTGTTGATGAGAATTGTTGTGGTGAAGCTGTGATACAATACTGTATGTCTCAGCCTTACCCTACAGCCAGCATATTTCCTAGTCTATTACAAGCACATTCAAGTATAAGACAGAAGTAGGGAAATATACACTGACATTGGACATGTACACATCACACATGGTTAATGCAATCAAGAAATAAACCAATCAGTTATTACCCAGCGCCGCTGACCCAAGCATACATGCTGGTGTCCGGATGAAGCTGTGGTTTCTCCAGGTCCTACGCTACACCCGGCATGGCTGCTAGCCTAAAACCTGCAGGCTTTGGGCGTGTGTATGTCCCTTTACTGAGAGACAGGACAGGACACATGGCAGCCCCCTGCACATGGTCGGAATACCCAGGCAACAGGACCAGGCATTCCTGGGATGGCAGCCACCAAAAGCAGAGAGGGGAGGAATGTGGCCATCCTCGTGCCTCCTCTAGGAGGGGATCAACTTCCTGGGTTGAACCAACCACTAGACTGACATCACAACACACGACAACAAGTAAACAAACAAACAAATAAGCAGAGGGGGTAGGAATGTGACAATCACCATGGCCATCCTTGTGTGTCAGCTAGGAGGGGATCAACTTCCTAGGTTGAACCAACAACTAGCCTGGCATCATCACAGTACACAACAAACAAACAAACAAACAAACAAATGATCAACTAAGCAGAGAGGGGAGGAATGTGGTCATCCTCGTGCCTCCGCTAGGAGGGGATCAACTTCCTGGGTTGAACCAACCACTAGACTGACTTCACAACACACAACAAACAAACAAACAACTAAGCAGAGAGGGGAGGAATGTGACAATCAATGTGGCCAACCTTGTGCCTCAGTTAGGAAGAGATCAACATCCAGGGTTGCACCAACAACTAGCCTGGCAGCACAACACACGACAACAAACAAAAAAACAAGCAAACAAATATACGCAGACTGAGAGGGGAAAGAATGTGACAAGCCATCCTTGTGCCTTGGCTTGGAAAAGATTAAATTCCAGGGTTGCACCAACCATTTGTCTGGCAGCAAGACACACGACAACAAACAAACAAACAAACAAATAAGGACAAAAGCAGGATAGGAAGGAATGTGCCTGACCATATTATACATTTAGGGATAAGCCAGGAAGAGATCAACTTGTCAGGCCAAACCAGCTCCTAATCTGACAGTTCAACACAGAAGCTGTAATCCCAGTGTTGTCAGCTCAACACACAGGTTCTAATCCTCATGTTTGGATAACCAACTCCACACGTCTTCTGAAACTTGGACCTTACTGGCAGATCCCTTTGTTAAGGGCTAGACTACTGGAGGGTGTCCATGGAAGGGATACAATTTGTTCAAAACTTGTAATCAGATGTCTTGAAACTCAATTCTGATGAGTGACAGTTGACTTATACTTAACCATGCTATCAGGCCTCAAAATTAACTTTTTCCCCTATTGTCCCAGCATTGTCCTGAAAATAAATTTCAATGGTCCCAAACTGAGGATGAATTGTCCCAATCTGTTTTTTTCAGGAAGTATGTATGACAAAAACTTGAAGCGAACTTTATTTTGCTTAATATATGACTTCCAGGCACACTACTAGTATATCATAGAGTTTTTAGAGAAATTCAGCAGAACTTTGGGGGGCTTTTCCGGAGCCAAAAGCCAGGAAGCGTGCCTGATCAACTAAAGAAGGGCTGACATTCTATATTTTTCTGTTGTCCCAAAAGAGTCCCAAAGAGACTTTTTAGTTGTCCTGGCCTAAATTTCAGTGGTCAGTGGCCATTGGGAAGCCATTAATTTTGAGCCCTGGCTAGTATTACCCCCTAAGATGAACAGTTTTCTCACCGTTCCCTGGTAGTAAGGTCAGTTAGATCGCTGGGTTCAAAGAGTTGGTTCCTGGTCAGCCCCAGGTCCAGACATGCCCGAAGGAACAGGTTCAAGTTGTCCTGAAAGCAACAAGATTACATACAGAGGTTACAGTACATTGTTAACAACCTAAAATATCATGGCAGTACACGTGTACAATTTTTACAAAGATCCATCAAATACAAACATGTGCAGTTCTGCAGAGGTACACTAGGGGGAGGAAACTCCAATCTTAGTCATGTAACCAGTACACAACTCACAAACAAATGACAATGATTAACTTTCTCTCTGCTGGCTAACCCAGTACCAAATATACATTTGGTGCCAAACAGCTACCTTAGCAAGCTGAAAGTTAAAGACAAGAGAAGAGAGCTAAACACTCTTCCAGTGTCCAGATTTGAACATGCTTGTTTAGTGTTTGTTTGTTTATCGTTTACATGTCATCTGCTTGCTAGTGTAAACTTAAGTCTCGTCAGTTTGGTGTAAGGTGCTAATAAGTTGTTGTTAAGCCTTGCCAGTTTGGCGTAATGTTTGGGTACATGTTACCACGAGACTTACCAGTTTGGCGTAAGGTGTGGGTAAGTTGTTAATCTTCTTGATGGAACCTGGCTGAATCTTCTGCATCAGTCTTACAGGGGTTAAACAAGGTAAAATGACAGTGTTAGAAATACCCACCAGTAGTGATGCATACCTAAACTCAATTTTAGGTTCAGGTCCGGATTCAACGGATTCAAGTCCAGAGACTTGTAAGTCCGGACCTAAACCCATGACATATACAAAATTGCATGTTGGCAACCTTAAAACGTTGTTTGGGTGAAACTCTGGCCACATAACACGGAGGCCAGTACTTGACGATGCCTGATGGCAATGTTTCCTCATTTTGCAGCAAAGATTTAGCAATCTACAGAAGGTTTTAGGTGGTTTGGAAAGAAAAGGGGTATGTGAAATGGTCTTTTATGGTAATAAGTCCGGACTCGGTTCTTGACTTAAAGGTTTTTTTGGACTTAAACCTAAACATTCTTACAAGTCCGGATCCAAGTCCAGTGAACCGGTATGCATCACTACCCACCAGCAGTCTGCATTTTGAGGAGACATTTTCAATATTGCAGAAGAAAAATTAAGCAACCTGCAATTCTGCAGACTGAAAAAGTCAGGCTTGGGGTTGAAAGGTATCAGATTTTGTGTTCACTGCTATTATATATTTTGTACTTTAGTAAGTAATTTTGCATGTTACTGTTCTTCAAATTGCATGTGAAATGTTTGCCAACATGCAATTTTGTATAGGCCCAGAATTACAAATGTGTATTTTGCAGAAAGTATTCCCAAATTACAGAACAAAATTTAACATTCTACAACATTGCAGAACACCGAGAAAATTTTCTTTGTATTTTTACCCTAGCCTGGATACCATCCGGA